GCCTACAAATGAAGAGACGCACCAAAATTTACTGAAGATGTTCTAGTGCCACAGCAGACACTAGGAAAGTATGCTAACATTCTCCATCATGATAAGGTGTTATAAATGCAGCATTTCTCTGTTTTGTCTCTTTATGGTAATAATATTGGGAAACCACTGCCAAAGTATTGAAAGTATTGGTAAACATGTGAAATTTTTCCTTCAAAATATACTATTAGCTTTTGTAAGGGGATGAAATATAGATTAATCTACAAAAAATCCAAAATAGCATTTAACATTTCAAGTGAGACAACAGCTTAAAGAAGCCGAATATGATGAGACACTGCTGTTTCAAAGTAAACAAGATATTAGTATCATCGCTCTTAGTTGCAAAAGGAAAAGAGAGAAAGAGGAAGTCAACACCTATGGCATTGTGACAGGTGACCTTATTTTAATCAATTTATGGAAAATGACAAAAGAATGAAGATACAAGAGGTAAAGGAGTAAAAATTATGCTACAATAGACTATTCAATAATGTAAAATTTGGTATGGTCTTAAAACCAAAACCAAACCGGTTGCCATCGAGTCGATTCCGACTCATAGCGACCCTACAGGACAGTGTAGAACTGCCCCATAGGGTTTCCAAGGAGCAGTTGGTGGATTTGAAATGTCAACCTTTTGCTTAGCAGCCGAACTCTTAACCATTGCACCACCAAGGCTCCCGATATGGCCTTAGAAGTAGTGAAATTCATGATACAGCCAAAACAAATAACAACCCCTCCCCGTCAAAGATGGGGAATTTCGAATACTATTGCCACTGTAGCTTAATAACTATCTGCCATACCCAGTGAATTATTCCCTTAAATGTATGCACACCCCAGAAGAAATTACGATACTTTTCTGTGTAGGACTATCTGGTTTGTCTATGTACAAATGTGTGACACAAAACAAATACCACAACATAACTATCTGGTGTGCTTGCTTAACTCTGCTGAGCAAAGCATCCATGTGGTTGACCTACCTAACATCCTCCCCATACAGTTCACTGACATAAAAACTGTCCACAAACCTGAGTGTCCAACTACCTGCTGCTGTTGCTGTTAGGGACCATTGAGTCGATTTTTGACTCATTGCAACCCCATATGATAGAGTAGAACTGCCCCACCATAAGGTTTTCTAGGCTGTAATTCTTACACGTCTTTCTCCCGTGGAGCCTTTGGGTGGGTTTGAACCATCATCCTTTTGGTTAGCAGCCAAGTGTGTAACCCTTGCACTACCAGGGCTCCTAACTACCCACTAAATGAAAACCAAACCCTTTGCCGTCAAATCAATTCCGACTCATAGTGACCCTATAGAACAGAGTGGAACTGTCCCATAGGTTTCCAAGGAGCAGCTGGTGGATTCGAACTGCTGACCTTTTGGTTAGCAGCTGAGCTCTTAACCACTGCAGCATCAGGGCTCAACTACCTGCTAGACATCTCTAAATTAAAGTTTCCCAGAATCCTCCTACTCACTATTCTACTTCTGACCTCACACTCACTTGATGGTCACTGTTTTGGTTAGAAAGAGCACCAGTCACCTATTAGCGAGAGCCGGGAAATTGGGTAAGTTTCTTAATTTTTGTCTGGTTGAATCTGACTCACAACGACCCCACGTGTTACAGAGTAGAACTGAGCTCCGTAAAATTTTCTTGGCTGTAATCTTTACAGAAGCAGATCACCAGGTCTTACTTTCTCGGTGCTGCTGAATGGGTTTGAACCGCCAACCTATTGGTTAGTAGCTGAGAGCAAACCATTTGCTTCATTCCTACTCTATTCCGATATCTCTGACCAAAAGTCTTGTCTCTCTTATAGGATTATTTTAGTCCTTTGCCTGTATCTAAAGTGTTGATGTTCCCCCAGGGGGCTCCATCCTTGATGTATTTCTCTTATTTTGCTTTAGGGTGCTGTCAGTCCCACGCTTAATGAAACAATTTAGGCTCAGCACCGACATAATCCTGAGAACAGCCTCATGCTCTCAGTAGATTTTTTGAAAATGTGATTAACCTAGTGCCTTTATATCTTAAAGAGTGTCTAGCACAAAATTTAACTATTGCCTCCATCTCGTCTCCCTCACCCAATTCAGATAAACATCCTTACTGCTGACTCAGTGTGTCTGCACATCCTTCTTGCCAAAAGCCTGCAAAGGAACAAAGGTGACGGTTTCTGCAGAACACCTGGGAGCAGCAGTTCTGTGTATATTCACCTAAGGGAGGAAGCTCATCTTTCCTATGCAGGCAACACATTCATTCAGTCAACAAGTATTTGGGGGGTTCCTGTTTTGTACTTGAGCCCTCATGGCTTAGTGGTTAAGAGCTATGTATGCTAAAAGGTTGGCAGTTCAAATCCACCAACCGCCTGTTGGAAACCCTATGGGGCAGTTCTACTCTGTCCTGTAGGGTTGCTATGAGTCAGAATTTACTCGATATCAATGGATTTGTTTTGTACTAGACACTGCTAGGCTCTCCCAAAAGAGTATGAGAAAAAGGCCGGGGGCCGGGGGTGGGGAGGGGAAGGCTGGGGGAGGGGGTGAAGGCGGGGGACGGGGGGGCACTGAGACGTCAGAAGAAAAGAATCTTTGAAATCGGCAAGGAATGACCTGAGTTTTAATTCTCCAGCATTAATGGAGACTTTCAAAGTTGGATGATTTGCTTTGCAAAAAAGAAAAAAAAAAAAATGTAACTAATGCAACTCTTTTTATTCCCCATCCCCCTTTCTTAGCCATGGAGCCTTCTCACAGTATGTCATTGTAAAACCCTAGTACTGTTACAGCATTTATTATTTATATTTGGATATTTGAAAATTTCACTGGCATTTTAAGTCCCCTAAGTATCAAATTTTCTGTTTATATTAGCATTCCCTTTTCTTAAACCCCTGTCTTTTGGGCCAAATCCTACGAGGCTTTTTCCTGTCTCCTTGATTACTACCTATTGAAAGGTTAAGTCTCATAGACACAAACCAGCTACTTTTTTCTTCTTATTATCAAAATATGAACACACTCCAAAAACATCTACCACATATTTCACAGAAATGGTTGCCAATGAGAAAATTTTTAAAAAGAATATATTGGTCTCTATTGGAATAATTTTGTACTCTAAATAGTGTTAGGAAAGTGGTGAAAAGTTATATGAATTCTACTCCATGTGTTTTATTCATCTCTAGTTATAGAAGTACATTTGTTACTTATGGTCAGGAGGAAAAGATAAATAGAGTTCACCAATAGGGGACAGGACTTTGATGATTTCAGTCACTGGAACACCTCTGCCAGAGTCGTTATGAGCTCTAATAATAAGCATGCAACTTATACTTTTCCCTTTGTAATTTCCTCAAAAATCATTTACTATTCTACTCAATGTTTAGCAAAGCTTTTTTTCTTAATGCAGTCTGCTATATTAAATTAAAAACATTTCAACCAATTTCAGAACCATTCTACACGAAAAGAAAAATATACAACTCGGACAGGCTAGTATTTACAAGGAAGAAAAGGTCTTAGAAAGTTATTTTTCTCCATCTTTCATATTAAGCAATTACAGCATTTTGCCAAACTAAACATCTTGTGAAGATCTTTACAAAATAGCTTTCTAATAAGGCACTAATTTCGTATTTTGCTTTATGTGAAAAAAATGGTTCAACTTATTGGTTGGAAAGTTATATTAAAGCATGACTATATATGTGGCATGTAATTCAGTATAATGCAAATCCATATAGAAATCTCCCCCCTGCTTCTGTTGCTTGATACACCAAAGTAACTTCTAACATGATTCTCCTTGTGGCTACATTTTAGGAAGGCTCCAATAAATTCCATGTAGTATTTTTGTTGAGAGACTCAGGTGCAAAAAAAAAAATAATATTATATGTTTTTACTTCATTTAAAATCATATATTTCTTCTCTAACCACTGATACATGTTTGAGTAATAAACATCTGCAGTACGGTTTGTCACTTCAAGTAATCTGGGAAAAAAAAGGAAGATTTCAGAAAGAATGGTAAATATCATTTGTGTCTTTTTGGAAGAGTGAAGGATTCTTATTTCTGAAATATCATATGCAAGGATCAGGTATCTTATGTTACTTCATCCATTGTGCCTTGCAGAGTACTATGCATGTACTGACTATTAATATAGAAAAATATACATTTTATAAATGAACAAACATGTTGTACTAAGTTGGGGTGATATAGGGTAAATTTTCCCCATCAAATACATTCATTTTCTTAATCAATAAAAATGATTTATTGGAATACAATAGTCATCATTTTAATCTATTAAAACTTGTTTGCAGCCTGGGTTAAACAAGATGCTTATCAATATAAATAATATGATTATGTCGCTTCAGATGTAGGCAGTTAGATGCTTTCTAATCAATTGCATTTTTATCTCCTTTTTCTATAAATTAAGATTAAATTACAAGTAGATTAAGTTGTGCATTTGTAATATTTTCTTGAAATATTTGTGTGTGTATGCCACACACACCTAAAACTTTAGATAATAGCTCTCCAAATAATCAATGGAAATACAAATATTATCTTAATTCTCATAAAATGTATCCTCCTCTTATTTTGAAAAAGAATGTAACCTGCAAGATGCACATGTATTATCTTAAGTGCTAAAGAAAGTATTTTATGCTGAATTTACCTGGTTACCCATCCATACTTGAAAGGCCCTGGGGAAGTTAGCTCAGCAAATTGGGTAGTTCAGTTTCAGCCGGCCTTTGTTGATCTAGCCATTTCATAATTTTATTACTGCCAGCTTGATTTTAATTCGAACGGAATCTTTCAACATATGAAAGCAAGTCATACTTATTTTTAAATGAATTACTGAGTGATTCATCGATGAAATATTCTAGAGATTCTAGAAACATCACTGGATGATTTACTAGACCAAACGAAGGTATATACAGAGGGTAAATTTATTGTGGCTACTTAATTTGCAACATATGACCCCATAACTCTCTGCACACAACTGCTGGTCTGGTTTTATCTTACCTCCAACACTGGACATTCTGGAGGAGTCCTGATGAGAGCTGGATTTATTGCGGTTTTGATTTTTCCGTTTGTTGGCTGCTCTCACAGATCGAAGAAGGACCTCACTTGCCTTGAAGAAGGCCACCATGAATGGTTGTTTTGACTGAGGCCCATGTCTTCCCACAAGACCAGCAGATTTTACGTTTATACTGCGTCCTAGAACATAAGGCACAGGCATTAGTTTATGAAAAAGAGATAAAGTTTACCTAACATGAATGAATTCTGAGGGCACTTTAAAGGGGGAAGAGTTTTAAAACATTATCAGAACATTTCCTTTACAAGCCAAAGATTCTTATAAACATTAAAAGTTTACTATGACAGATGATCCATGCTTGGTTTTTTATTTGCTTCATTCTTCCACCACAGAACATCCTCTGGCTGCCTTCACTAATTGATATCTTCTCAGACCTTAAAGTCAGCAATACTATAAATGGAGAAACTTAACCAGCATCAGACTAGAAATCTTCACATTCAATAACAATGTCAAGAGAATATTAACTATGGGCTTTTCTGCATCAAATGCCCTATAATTTTGCTCTAAGTGACAAAAGCTGAGTGCCTAGTGGGGTGTTTCGCCTTTCTCCACCTTTTTCAAGCAGTCGAAGTGTTAATGAGTGCTGATAGCCTTCCCTCCTTCACCTCTGGCAAATGCCCAGCAAACTTCACAAAGCTTTTACTTAAAGCTCTTCACAATCCTTCTGGAAGCCCAGTCTGGGGAGTGAAGTTTGCTTTAAACTCAAGCTCATTCTCAATGTGAAGTATCTGAAGTAACTATGGACATTTCAGGGTCCCTTCCTCTTCTGGGGCCCTGGTGGCGCTGTGGTTAAGATTCTGGCTGCTAACCTAAAGGTCAGCAGTTTGAATCCACCAGCTGTTCCTTAGAAACCCTATGGGGCAGTTCTACTCTGTCCTATAGGGTTGCTCTGAATCGTAATCGATTCGACGGCAATGGGTTTGTTTTTGTTTTTTTTTCCTCTTTTAGTTTTGATACAGCATTGTACTTAAAGGATTTCAGAAGATGTAAACTAAACCAGGAGACTCTCAGAAAGGAGAAAAATCCCAGGTGAATTTAGAGTCACCTTTGCATCTAACCAGCTTACATCCCAGACCCTGGCCTGCACTTGTGGATGTGGTTGTATATCAGGGAAGAGAGAGTTCAGTCAGGGCCTGTGTGGGAATGTGTTAGAAGCTAGGGTATCCTACAGCCTAGAAGTGGATGTTGATGAAGTACTTCTCCCATGGGTGTGGCAATAATAATTATTATAATAATGGCGAATAATATGTTTGGGGTGCTTGCTGTGTACCTGCCAAACATTTTTCTAAGTGGTTAACATGCATTATTTAATTTGATTCCACAAATACCCTAGGAGTTAGGTATTACTATCTTCCCCCTTTTACAATTTACTCTTGTTAGGCTCTTGTTAGATAATATAAAATAATTATCTGTGAAAATAAATACAATATAAAACTATATTAAAGAAAACCATTGACTTTGATATCTGGTTCCATCAAAATTACCCAAAGAAAATGAACTATTTAAACTTAAGTTGTAAATATAGCTGAAAATTATTCAAAATCCACGGAAACTTTCTACTCGGGATACAGAAGTTACCAATTTTTAAGAGTAATATATAATGTGGTTTGAAATATGTACATGATTGACTCTGGCTTGCCCCGTGAGAGATGTTCATGTTTTCTTAAAATATTTATTCAGTAAAGACTGTGGAGCAACCTCAGTCCATTATAAGATCTGACCCACCTTAGAAGAAAGAAAAGGAAAACATGTCCCTGAAATGGCATTTTAGCAAATAAACCCTTGCTCTTAACAGAATTTATTTTGGCAGCATAAACACTTTTGTGTATACTTGTATTGTACAGAGACCTTCTACCATCAGAAAATGAGACTGTGTCATGTGAGGCTGTGCAGCTGTTGGAAGGGACAGAGAAGTCCTTTAATGTGGAGGTATTGGTAAAAAAAAAAAAAAAAATAGTGTGCACTAATCCGGGCACCATCAGTGTCCTCAACAATGGTTCTACAACATATACAACGTATTGGGTTCCTACGAAGATTAAAATGCCACTACTCTCAGTCCTACCAGAGAAAAAACTTATAAATAATCAAAGTAGTAAACCTTAAACAAATAAGCATATAGGTTTCTCTTTTAAATGCAAACTTATAGTGGCTTTATGCCAGAGTCTATATTTCTTAGAAAAACTCTATCACTGGCATAAATGAAAGAGGCGGTTTGATTTGTGGTCAGCGCAGTTTCCATTCTACTTCCACTGTAACAAATGTATTAATTCAGCTCAGACTTCCTCCTTCTGCAGCCCTTTTGCTGTAAAAAGAGAAATTAGAAGTTCCAGCCAAATACCATACCTTGAACTGACCCACTTCAATACATAAACACTTTTACAACATGTTTATTCAGGTGTAGCACTTGAAATTGGTTTAAGATGTTTCCAGTGACAGAGAGCTCAGCAAAAGAAAAAAAAAAAAAAGAACTGAGAAACTTAACTATTATGGGATAGAATAACTGGCAATCTGTTCTTCAAATTTTTGTTTTTTTTTCCATCTTGGAGTACAGCATAAAGGGTATTTGTTGAAGCTTTTATTTTGATTTTTTAATGGAGTGTTAATTTAACGGGAACTAAATTTTTACTTGTATACATTGATGAGTGCAGAAATCATATTTAATATATGATCTTTCTAATGCTGAAATAAGTTGTTACAAGATGTTCACAAATGGAATACAGTAAAATCAGTTTTCCATTCATTACAATACACACTGACCCTTTTATAGTTAAATAAGCACTTAACACAAAGTTCCAAGTTTTCTTTGATTTGCATGAGGGTTTCTTTTATTATTATTCCAAAGACTTTAAATATTTTAATTTTTATCTGTGGAGAAATAATACAGAAATAATACTTCTCTAAAGATTTATGTTCTGAAAACTGCAAAGATGTGTGTATGTTACAAATATGGGTTTCTTAGACTTTACAAAGGTGGATATTGTGTGTGAAGCAAAGTACCCTTCAAACCAATGCGAACTCCCTTTAAAATAACTTTTAATATTATTAAGTTTCCCCTTGGTTTCCTTTTTACTTCAGCAATGAGGCGACTATTAAGATTCCATAAGTTAATGCTTGCTCAGTTACCCTTGGTTTTGAGCTATACCATACAAGCATTAACTATTTGACCTACTCCTTCAGACACAATATACCTACACTGATTATGCTGACTAAATTTTTGAATGTCTGAACAGTTATTTTTGTAGGAAATGCCATTGGGAAACCAGACTATATTTTATGTATTGGAAAATAGTAAATATTTTGTAAGTTCATTTGAGTATATTACATTTTACTACTAAATTTATAGTATTTTTAAAATGTTACAAATATATAAATAAAGAAGCCTACCTAAAGCATTTAAGAGAACTATATTTATGTTTTTATCACTGTGGATTTAATTTTCAAAGCTGATACTTTTTTTTTTTTACATTCTAATACATTTATGTTTTAGAGAAGTTTCAGGTTTACAGAAAAATTGTACAGAAAGTACAGACAGTTCTCATATACTCCTCCATTCCTCTGCACGCAGTTTCTTCTATTATTAACATCTTGCATTATTGTGGGGCCTTGGTTATAATTGATGACCCGGTATCAATACATTGTTATTAACTTAAATTCACAGTTTGCTGTAAGGTTCACTCTTTGGGCTGTACCGTTCGGTGGGTTTTTAACAAATGCCTAATGTCATATATTCACCATTACAGTATCATGCAGAATAGATTCATTGTCATTAAATGCCCTGTGTGCCACCTATTCACCCTTACCTCCTCCCTCTGAACCCCTGGCAACCATTGATCTTTTTACTATCGCTACAGTTTTGCCTTTTCCAGAATGATATGTAGTTCAAATCATATAGTACATAACTTTTTCAGACTGGCTTCCTTCATCTAGCAATAGATATTTAAGATCCCTTCATGTCTTTTTCATAATTTGATAGATACGTATTTTTGAGCAGTTTTCAATTTAAATGTAGATAGATAGATAGATGGAGCATTGAATATACTGTGGAAATAAAAATGCAGTGGGGTGATGGAAAAAATATTAAAATAAAAGGGTGGTTAGAACACCAGCTTGATCACAAGCTTGGTCATCTTAGGATTCAGACACATCTAGGTATGCCTAGAATGTTGGTAGGTTTAATTCACTAAGCATATATTTGCGTAAGATTGTGCAACCTCTTGGAAATGAACTCATCCTAAGCAAAAGATGAATTCGTAAAACACAGATTCAGAACAATGTCCCACTGAGTAAAGGAAAGCAGTGGGTTTGAGTATGCAACTCAGAGTTACTTCCAGTGCAGCTCCAATGGTTGCATGATTAACTCCTAGAGAACACAAAGGGATTCAAGTAAAATAGAACTGATTTCACACAGTCCCTGTAAAATGCTGGCAGGGCAAGGTAGCATTACCTTGGGACTTAGTTAACAGAGTATGAAACAATATGGTGGAAATGGAGCCTGCCTACATCAGAAAAGTGGCTTCAGAGCAGCTCCACAGGAGTGTAGCAGCAGTATGTAGTTCCAAGATTATCTCCTGTACCAGTGGAAGCATCAGCATTGGCTTCAGAGAGTAGTAGCAGCTTGAAGGTAAGCAGAGTAGCACTCTAATGGCATCTGAACTTTCAAGGTGCACCATCAACTTGGTTCAGTTGTGAAATTCTTGTCTTCCACGCAGGAAAGCCAGGCTTGATTCCTGGTCAATGCATCTTGTGCACAGCAATAGAGTGTTGCTATGATGCTGAACAGGTTTTATAGGAGCTTCCAGACCAAGATGAACTAGGAAGAAAGGTCTGACAATCTTATTCCAAAAATCAGTCAATGAAAACCCTATGGATCACAACAAGTCCGATCCTGGAGATAGCACAAGACCAGGTAACATTTCGTTCCATTATGCATGAGTTGCCACGAGTCAGGGGCCAACTGGATGGCAGCTGAAAACAGCAACTGTAGCAAAGCTATAAGCAGTGCCAGTGATGGGATGAAGTGGCTCTGAAAGCAAAAGGACAATTCTCTTGCACTTATACATGTCCTGATATTGTACACTAGGAAGACAGCAGAAATAAGATCTGCTAAATGGGTGGGGTGATA